CTATATTAAGGACACCTCTATATTAAGGACACCTCTATATTACGAACACCTCTATATTAAGGACACCTCTATATTAAGGACACCTCTATATTACGGACACCTCTATATTACGAGCACTTCTATATTACGAACACCTCTATATTACGGACACCTCTATATTACGGACACCTCTATATTACGGACACCTCTATATTACGGACACCTCTATATTACGNACACCTCTATATTACGGACACCTCTATATTACGGACACCTCTATATTACGGACACCTCTATATTACGGACACCTCTATATTACGAACACCTCTATATTACGAGCACTTCTATATTACGAACACCTCTATATTACGAACACCTCTATATTACGAACACCTCTATATTACGAACACCTCTATATTACAGACACCTCTACATTATGGACACTTACGGTGTCCGTATCAAAATGGTATCAGAATTTTTGGTCAATGAACGCCAGGCACAGCCCGACAAACCTATCTAATACGGTCATCCAAACGACGAACCTAAGTGTCCGTAATAGAGAGTTTTTTTAATGAGTGAATAAGTGTACTCAGTCCTATATTTACAGAAGGTGTCCCGCATGACAGACCTACCACTGTATTCAAAATACTTGAGCTTTGAATACTGACAGCGACGCCAAGCTTGTTTAAAAATAAGCTCTACAATGATAACGGGGTTGTGAACCAGTTCAACTCACTCGATAACAATTTATCGTAGCTTTTAAAGTGACTTGAACGTTTCTAATAAAGAGTTTAACATATGGGAAGGCGATCTAAATCTTTAGAAGTACCCGCACTTGAACTCTAGAGGTGGCCTGTTGTAATGTTGCTTTTCATCAGCTAGTAGAAAAAATTTACGCWATCCTGGAAGCATGCCTTCTGTTCGCTGAAAAAACCTGCAGCTCAATTCGAATCTGCTTGGAAGAAAACTCTAGGAATGATCATCAAGTTAAATCTAAAAATCATTGGAAATAAATGGTACTTTTACATTCTCCCAAAACTAAAAAAAAAACAAACAAAAAAACCCTGATGGTTTCAGATAAGTCACTAAAAAATAACTGTTGTGAGAGCTAAATCTTCAATGTTTTAAAAAACGTTTCACACTTATTTCAAGCTGCCTTTCAACGCTGTGATTTTCAAATCAAATCAAACTGGAGTGATCGAAAACAATGTATTTAGTTGACCCCAGTCTAGGCTACGTACACACACTTTGTCAAAAATAACTCACTCGCTAAAAACAATGCGTAGCCTCTCAACGCTCGTTGACACATTTTGACACCAAAATATATTCCTTTGCAATAATTGTAGTTTACGTGGACTTATAACGTGTCTCGCAACGGCGCTGCGACACAAGTTGCATGGAGCATTGCAACGTGTAACCCACAACGCAATTTTAAAAAATGTTGCAAGACAACTTGCAGCAATCGTTGCGAAGGGTAGGGTTCGTTTCTACTTTGGCAACGATTGCTTCGTTTAAACACTCTTGCAACTTTTGTCGCAACGATTTGCGAGACAAGTTGCGGAGAAAATTTCCTATCTCTGCAAAAATGAATGTCTAAATTACAATTACAACATGGAATAAAATATTCATAGACTGATTTCTTTTTTTCGCTCCATTTGTCATTCTTTTGAGTAACTTTCTTACCGTCATTTCAATTTTGTAGTCTATATAATCTTTTTCGTTTAGGACGCCTCGTATCGCGTCTACTCTCACTACCCTGTTTCCCATTGGGTACATAAATGCTGTATTACTTTCCTTTCTGAACTGTATCCACCTATACTTTGGTTGCTACCTACTCTACTGCTACGCTTTATCATACGTTTTGTTTATATATTTTCCTAGTTTAGTTCGTTCGTTCGTTCCTCCCTTCATTCCTTTCTTTCTTTTGAAATCATCAACATTACGTTCGCAGAAAATATAGATGGTATGAAAAACAGATGTTACAAGAAGGGCGAGACTTGTTATAAGCAGACTATTTACCATCATAATTTGGCCACTGACRACAGAATATCTCAACTAAAATGTCAGAAAAAAGCCATGTTAATAAATGAAACGAATRCCATAATTTTCTTTTTTAAAATGGCTCAATTTGGGTGTTTTATCTAAACTGGAATTCATTTCTTGAAGAACGCAAGATATTTTACTAAATCAATGGCTTTTCTGAGATAAAGTTTGGTGCAAAATTTGAGAGCTGTTGATTTAAGATAAGATAGCCTAACTTTATCTGTTCGGTGGAAATCTAAGTCGATCTGGGGTGATTCCATTAGTAGGCATATTTAACTGGTTTTAATGGCACTCAAATAGTTTAGGTGGGTTGGTATCGAATATCGTCTAAGTCATAAACCAATGGTTGTTGAATGCCTTGGAGGGTAGAGAATGCTTTAGCTTTTTAAGTTTTCCGTTCGGTAGAGTATTAATGAAATAGCATCCAACGTAATCTTTCAAAGTCTTTCAAAGCTTTCTGTTTTAATTAAATAGTAAAATAAAAATGAAAAACAAGAGATGAAAGAAATAGAAACATGAAAAAACAATAAATGGAGTTTTTTCATGGGAAGTTTTTCACCGGTAACCAGTTGGCAGACTTTTATTCACGAGGAACGAAACTAGATTAATATAAACAAGAAAGCCGCAAAATTACTTTGTAGTTTATACAATGAATTAATTCGTGTTTTTCTTCATTGCCTTTATAAATTATGGTGATAAGAAAACATTTTCATTTCGGCAAAAAGAAGCCGAAGAAAAACCAAATGAAAAAGTCGTTTTTGAGAGCAAAAGAAAAACCAATTTCGAAGTAGAATATATTTGATGTAGAAGTGAGAAAAAAATTGGCTGGCATGTACGAGCTTTCGTAAAAGCCCCAGGGCAAAAATATTTCTAAATAAAGGCACGAGCATATCATTAGCTTGCGATTATGGCAAAGATTTTGGTGTCGTGGGGTTGTTATCTTGATTAAGTTATTCCGAAACATCAGACTGAATGGCGCCAGAACAACGAGACATCGTCTAGAAACTAAACATGATTGGAATCAATGGAAAAACATGGTTTCAAATCCAGAAAACACCTACACACTTTATTTATTATGCTATAAACGGTACTTTTACTTAATAAAAGGCTTTAGTCTTCCTATCGTCGTGGACCAGTCGTAAAGTTAGATCTAGTGGCTATAACGTTAATGCTATTTTGGTTCATTTTGGTTCATTTTATCGATAAAAAAATGCGTATCGCTTGCTAAGTCAAGCATAAAAGTTTTTCATTAAGCAAAGATGTTTGGAAGATGAGCTGTTTAWAACGAAACACGAAACTGAACTGAGCTGATGAGCTGTAGCATGAAGTCACGAAATCTTTTGCAGAAGAATCGAGTAATCTTTGAATACATTGTCTAAATTTGCGTATAAAAGGTGGCGTTGGAATCAATTTATTATTGTAGACTTTCTGAGCTCTAGTCAAACAAGCTGAGAGAGGTTTTCTATTGAATATGACAGAACTTTTTGAGTTAAGCTAAGCTATGGTTTAAGCCCCATTAACACGAGAAACACAATAATTCATTATGCAAAATCTACGAGAAATTATTAAGTAAAGTTTGAAAGAAAGAAAAGATCTCTAAATCTTGTTAAATCGACTCGATAAAAGTGTCAATGTAAATGGGAATCAATCATGGTACTGACATTAGACTAAGGTAAACACAAGACATTGGAACCTAAAGGTCGACTCTTCCTGTCAGAAAATCATCACAATACGACCACTAAAATCTTAAACTTAAAAGACTTACAAACTATGAATGAACAACAGAATTTTTAAGTCGAAAACAATAAAAGAAAGAGTTGGGAATAAGTATCCTATCGATGTATTGTACGAGAGAAAGAGCACATGAAAATATCTGTCAAACTTGCTGAAAGTTTAACACACGCTCGTGGCCCGTGTGGGTTTTTCTAAACCACAATAAAAATTCACTTTCCTAACGTGTTGACCAATTTATATTATGCTTTAAAAAAACTTTAGTAAGACCTTAGGTATTTTTGGTTTGAAATTGGAAAGATTAGGAGGAAGTAAGTATCCGGACTGTGAGTTGTGGTATAGCAACATAGCAGGATTATAAGAATTACATCGTTTATATCGACAATAAAAGTGGTTTAGTAACCAACAAAAGTACATCAATACAACAAAAAAAAACCACCTCACTTACCGACTATCGTGTTGTTTTGAGAGAAATACGTGAATAGCACGAACAACGCTAACCAAGCGACTAGCATCAACGCAAATACAACACGAAATGGTAGTCTTAGCCTACGAAGACGGATCCAAATTCTCATGGCCTTGAAATTGTGTTAGCTACGGTGCTCTCCACTGGTGTTGAAGATCGGATTTGCTCGAGATTTCAAGCCGTGAGGTCACTGTTTCTGTAGAGATCCTCTGTAGGTTCTCCCCAACACTACAAGCTCATGCCGATGCCTGACTGCGTGTGCTAAATCTAGCTTCTTTAGATACACCGCTCATCTTTGACTGAGGCCGTCAAGCAAGTCTGTTTTACAACATCGTAATTCTATACTTTGGGCGAGATTTGAGTTTATGTTGACGCGAGTAATTTGAGAGGTTACGATTGTTCGGGTTACTGCGTTGTGGACAGATAATAGACCATGAATTAATGAAGTGCGATTATATTTAAAAACTCAATCGTAGCCACAATGTCTCATTATATTTACACAAATAAACCACTTGGCTTGGTTTAAATATCATTATTTGATGAAGAGAATTAGATCTTTTTTCCCATTTATATATGTACTCGTACTGATATATGCTCGTAGAAGATGTCTGTTCAGTGTCACGTTTGTGGGTTAAATAGCCTCAAGGAATATTTTGATTTGTGTGAATAATATATTGAGGGATGGCGAGTGACGAGGGGCTTAAATCAGGGTTTCATATTATTCAGTGCGAAAGCTAAAAAGTCAGTCTAGTCAGTAATTTCCATCATTGTCATCATTATCATCAGCAACAGCGTTACTTTGTCATCAAAATCATTATTATCACTTTTCTACCTGTGGCAAATTCAAATCGTCAGTGAGGCTCTTCCTTTCTTTCTTCCTTCCTTCCTTCCTTCCTTTTCTTGTTCTTTTCTAAGTGTCATCCTTCCTTCCTTCCTTCCAGTATTCCATTCTATCTTATTATTTTCCATCCTTTCTTGTCTAAAAGTTTGAAAAAACACGCAAAAGATTTGACAAAAGTCTTCAAAAGCCGCCTTCATTTTAATTTATTTGCCACCACAGAAAAAACATGGCTTTAATTACGTTATCTAGGAAGAAAACAACGCTATCTCCAAAAGCAAATTAAACCGGGATTCTCTTTGAATCAGAAACTGTCTTCGTAACGATTTAGGTGTGTTCGATGATATCGGAATCAAATTCCCACGTGCACAACATCTGTTCCTCGTCTGCTATTGAATAATCAAAAATCCATGTGACTATGTGCTATGTCGCTAGGACCTCAGTGATAAAGACTCTCTTTACATCTATTAACAAGTCGAGTTCAAGTTGGTTAAAAAATCTTACATTTTTTTCCAGTATAGGCTACAATAATGTAACCCATTTGGAAACAGGCAACTAGCAGGCCCTGCCAGACTTTTAGCTTTGAAATGAGTGATAAACGCCTCATTAACCAAAACACTGATAACAAAAGTTCAATCTATCACAAGTGCTTCAAAAGAATCGGGTTTTGATTCCAAGTTCCAGATAGTATCTAGATTGAAAGTCCTCGCCCATCGCCGAAGCGAAAGATCAAAAACACACCGCCCGGTCCTTTAGCCGACTAATAAAGTGATGTTTAGTCTATTTTAACAGCCGAGACCAAATTTATTGTTTATCATGACCATCATGGTGGCATAAACATCAGGCGCTTGTTCGGTAATTATCTACTATATAACCTATAACGTGAGGTCCAATTGCATAAGGCGTCCAATCATCCCAATAGTTTTCAACGCGCTATCCCGCAAGCACAAAACGACTTGCCACATCTATCAACACTCAAGTTTGTCATATATACCAAAGTGCCTCGGAGTTCTTGTGTTTTAATGGGCCCAAGGCTTGTGCTCGTGGTTAGCTTTTTTCCTGTTATGGCTCTCGTCACTCTTGAGTCGTTAATAAGTGTTGCTGCTTATACGAACTTGCCCCAAAGACCGTCGATTGATCAATTAAAATGCGTGAAGTTGTTGAACAGTGTCTAGCCTGGGGCCCTAACCGTTGGTGAGCCGCAAAGCGTCAATAGACCGACCTGTGGGACAACGTTTAGCCAAGCTGAATGAGTCTATCGCATTACTTATACAATACTCAAGGGAATGGTCATGTGGTCTGAAATGGTACAACATTGAGCCATGCTGAATGGGTCTATTGCTTATACAATACTCAAGGGAATGGTCATGTGGTCTGAAATGGTACAACATTGAGCCAAGCCGAATGGGTTTATTGCTTATACAATACTCAAGGGAATGGTCATGTGGTCTGGAAATGAGACAACATTTATACCATTTATAGCCAAGCTGAATGGGTCTATTGCTTATACAATACTCAAGGGAATGGTCATATGGTCTGAAATGGTACAACATTGAGCCATGCTGAATGGGTCTATTGCTTATACAATACTCAAGGGAATGGTCATGT